CATGCCTTTACTAGTGGTAAAAACTTAGCTCCTTTGCTCGCGCTGTAACAGAGGTATTCGATTGTTTCTCGGTTGAGTGACCTTCGGGTTATCCTGCCTATGAGCACGCAACAAGCTTTGGGTCTCAATTGTTCACTAAGTTCGTTATTATCCAATTCTTCACGTTTGACTTGTGTACTGTTTCCTTAAAACCATCTTCGTTGAATGTCTTCGCAAATTCGTTAAAGCCCTTTAATATAACAGTTTGAAATGTAACACGCCTATCCACTTCTAACTGATCAGTTGATAATATATTCATTAATTCTTTCTGCTTTTGATTTCTAATTTCATCGAATTTCAAGCGCCAGTTGATATCACGGAAAGCTGTTGGTTTTTCTGAATCTTCTTCATTATCACTATCCTCGCAATTTGACTGCTGGGCTCTCAGATCTACCAGAACTTTCCTTAGCGTAACATCAACTTGGTTTATCAACACTAAAATCTTGGCTTGAGTACGTTCCAAAACTTTATCCAGTAGTTCCTTAGTTGTTACCACATTGAGATCATCCAATGTTGACACTATGACGACCAGACTCGCTGCATCAAGTGTAAGTTCGAGCAAAAATTGAGATGCGCTGTATGCATCATCTACTCCGGGATTATCCACTACATCAATCATCAATCTCGCAACATTTGATACATCCTTCAAATCAAGGTAACATCGACGCTTGAGCGACACTCTCGCGTTCTTGTGAGCAGCATTCTGGACTTTGTCCGATTGAGATTTAGTGAGATATTCAAATAATGTCGTTTTTCCCACTTTCGTGCGACCTAAAATAGTGATCATCGGTGGTTGTCGAAGAAGAATCTCTCTGATCGAGCATAGCTGACGACAAATCTCGGTCACGCCAACGAGCTTCCATCGATTATTACCAGATATCTCGCTGAATCAAGTGTTCGTGAATGTTCGCGTCCAGATCCTGTCTAGTTCCTCCGCCGATTTCACTTCCGTAAGTTCTCGCGACCAATGACGTTTACTAATTTCGGAAAGAACTTCCCATTCCTTTTCATTTCGCAGAGCATCTTCATCATAGCCAGTTGAGAGTAACATTAAGACACTACTGTCAATGAGCGATTTGTGAACCCATTTATAATTCCCGAAACGCTTTTGTCGACGTTTCGCGACATTCCATCCCACCCCGGCTGCTATCAGTGTTAAACCTGCAACGACCATCGTCGGCACCACCCTAAACTGAAAACCAAAAAGGCGTCGCACGAAACTGCAAAAAGATTTCGTGTATCCCACGGAACCAAAAAGGTGGCTATAAGTTTGCAATGAGCTCGAAACCCATTTTTAGTTTCGCATGATAATATGAAACACTCAAACACCTTTCCTACGTGCCTCTTAAGTATATGTAAGGATTCAGTATAATACTACGAAAACCTCAAAGGAAGTTGCACATTTCGCCGAATTATAGGAATCTCTTACAAAAGTTTATCGAAAACTCCGGAAACTTTTTGAGGGTTTCGTATAGCACTACGAAACTAAAAAAGGCTTTCAAATTCGTCCCAAACTTATAAACCCATTTTTATTTTCGTTGCACACACGAAACCTTTTTGTAGTTTCGTCTGACGCCTTTTTTGTCCTCAGTGTCCCTTCACTAGCCCCAACGCCTGCCGTTACTGTATTCCCTTCCTATTCTACCGTTCTTAATGATCTATGTCTAACCTCTGCTGCTGCTGCTGTTGTACCTTCCACAACTGTTTTCATTGATTTACTTGCAACATTTGCTGCCCCTGCTGCTCCACTTTGGACAACTGTCTTCACCGCTGTTTTCCCAACTTCTGCTGCTCGTGCTGTTGCACTTTGGACAGTCATCGTTACGGCTGTTTTTCCAATCTCTCCTGCTCCTTCTGTTGTACTTTTGACAGCGATAGTCACGGCTGCTTTCCCAACCTCTGCTGCTCCTCCTGTTGCACTTTGCACAACCGCCTTTCCCGCTGTTTTCCCAGCTTCTGCTGTTGCACTTCGGAGAGCTGTCGTTACTGCTGCTTTCCCAACCTCTGCTGCTCCTTCTGTTGCACTTTGGACAGCCATAGTCACGGCCGATTTCCCAACCTCTGCTGCTCCTGCGGTTGTACTTTGGATAACTGTCTTCACTGCTGTTTTTC